TAAGATGCCAGCAACTAAGGATGAGCTGCTTATGGTATGTTCATCTATGTTAAACATTTTTGACTTATTAATTTCATTGATTGGGAAGTGTGGTGAGAATTATATGTGTTCTTTACAATTATGGAGTAGTTCATAGACAAGAGAAATATATATACAGTATACAGATTTTGTTTGTTTTATAAATAGTTCAAAAAGTTGATGAGATGCAGTGACCAGTTATGCCTGTTCTTTTACAGAGCAAAGGTGGCTCATATAAACTGCTGCTGAGCGGGGGACTGATAACACCTCTTTAATGCAACTCTGGTTTATAAAAACAAAGGCCTGTGTCCAGTTGCAGAATATCCATTCTAAAAATAATCTGAAAAATTGGAGGAAGTTTAGAAGAGGATTGTAGGAATGATCTAAACAGTGTTTTTTGATATGAGTACATTTGGCTTGGTTTTAAAGAACCAAGTGTGTTAATCAGAATTGAATCTTAAGTAGCATCCGCAAATTCTCAGCCTTTTTCAGCAAGTAAGCCCTAAAAGTTGGGCATTTAGAAGACCAAAAAATAATATATATATATATATAAAAGTAAGTATTTAAAATACAAGTTTTAATTTCTGTAATTTAGTTTAAGTACATTTCCAAATCTAATGTCTGTATCAAGTTTGTTTAGTTATAGCAGTGAAAGATGCCCCTCATTCATCTACATAGGAAAATAGTTGTAATGTGAACTAGAGTTTGCATATATAGCATAAGTTACACAACACCAATTGCCCGTGGATGATTTTGGCACCCAGCAAGTGTTAGTAAACCCTTAATAATCTAAACTTAATTTAGATTTATTTGTGCACACCCCAGCTGGTTGAATGAATCGGATTGCTTTCTGCAAAATATGCTGAGATTTTACTCCTCAAGAATGCTTGGGAAAGAATCCTGACAGTAGTAAGGAGGCTCTGTGTCCCAGTGGTAAAAGCTAGACCTGTACCTATGAGATAGCAATAAATTTCCTTGTCTAGCAGCAGCTGAGGTCACCACTGAATGACAATGTAACCACTATCAGAAATAGTGGGAAAAGGCTTTTCCCTAGGACAAAACAAAGCCAACAGTACTACTCTTCTGTGCCCCGTGTTTAGCCCAGCCAATAGTGTTGCAGTTCTAGCAAACTTGACTGACTGCTGAATGATTATTTTTTTCTCAAAGACCAGTAATTTTAGGTTGTGACAGACCAGCAAGCCAGATTTTCATACTGGAGTCTTTCCTCTGGAGTGCTCAATTTTGCACATATTTTGTGTTTAAAACGAGAATCTGCTGCCTGGGATGCTGTAAAACTATAAAAGTTTTTTTAAAAATCCATAATAGAGCAAGAGACAAGTGCTTTACTAATACGTTTAAATGACTGGTAGTTAAAATGAGTTTAATTCTTGAAAAAGAAATCTAAAAGGCTGTTCAATGGGATGAAAATATAACCCAATAAAGTTATCTCTGCTTGAGATGCACACATTTCTTGGAACGAGGGAACTATCTAAGTGCTAATGGTATCTTTAGAAAGCTACATTTCATAGAAAGCTAAATTTCATAGAGCAAAAATGAGTTTGTAGGTGTGCGATGACACTTTTGTGCTCCATAAACATATTCTAAAGAAGTCGATAATTCTCCTCCCAAAATCATTTGCTTACGTAGTCGAATCACTGAATAGCAGCAGCTCAGTGTTGTGCGGCTCTGTTAGATGATGTCCTCAACAAGGAATATCCGTATCAGTTTGTGGCAATCATAAGCTGTGGTCCTGTATTAAGAATCTAAGTTGCTTTTTGATTAATAGATTTTAGTTTAATCATCCTTTCTCTTATGAAACTTTGCACAGGTCTGTTACCTTCCGGCAACTCTTTCTGTCTGTCAAGTTTAAACCTTAAAATTAATGGAATTTATGACTGCTTAGACTGCTTAGGGTTTTGTTTTGTTTGTATATTTTAGGATTGTTTGGTGAATTCCAGACAGAGAGCATGGTGCTTAGAATTGGGTTGAATTTGGGGAATATTTGAGTACAAATAAACTTAACTAGTCAGAGAAGCTAGCTGTAAAGAACTGGCACATCTAAACTGCTCCCTAAAGGGGCTGCCTGTAGCGTGCCTGTAGTCAATGACCGTTGACTATGGTCATTTGAAGCCCAAGTGTTTCAACTTGCTTGATAAAATGCAGCAAGCACAGAGGAATCAGAGCTGGAATTTGAGACTGGCTGAATGAGTAATAAACAAGATGGGCATGTATTTTTTTAAGGGCTCTAAACTGTTATTCATAGGCAGTTTAGGCACTTCAGTGTTCCATGTTGTTTTTTTGTCTGTGTACTTACCATGTGCAGTAAGGGCAAATGTGTGAAAAACTCAAAATAGTAATATACTTACTCAGTACCCCTGGAGCCAGTATATACCAAAAATAGGAGATGCTAAAATTAAAAATGTATTTCATTTTCACACAGTGTTGATGAGTATGTATTTTTCTCCGTCTTGCATTGTGTCTGAAGCTCAGAGGGATCCAGAAGCTCAATTTGCTTGAGCCTTTCATGAGCCTCAAATGTGCCAATGACTAAAGGGACAGATTAAAGATAACATGGAGATTTCTTCCTGTTTGGAAGCACAGGTCTTGTTGATTTGGGGGGGGCAGGGGGTTCTTTTGGGGGAAGGGAAGCTGTATTTTTTAGAACTGCTTCTATTGTTTTCCCAAATCATTTTATTGCTATATAATATGTTCAGTGAGGTCTTTTTAATTGAAATGCACCAGATATCCAGCATGCAGAGCTAAGTAATGTACAAATTTAGTGGTTAGGGATGAAAATTCTTTCCATTTCTTTAATTTTGAGTAGGAAAAAGTGTGTGACTAATACAAAATTTCAATCAATTCCCTGCAAAATGTTGACATTTGATAGAGGAAGATGGTACATATGAATAAGCATAGATGCATTTTCCTTTTTTGCTCTGGGGGAAAAAAAGTCATCATTGACATCCCCTGAGATAAAATGCATCCTTAACAGCTTAACATATCTGCAGTCTCTATATCCTGCATGATTTCTAGTCTACATACTTACCAGTCAGTATCATGTATCTTTATATACAGCATTTGATACTATTTGTATGCGGAGGCAGAGCTAATGTTTGTTCTATGGATCTTACATAGTTCATATTCTTTAAATAAGACTCAACACTTTTTTTTTTTTTTTTTTTTTTGAAAACAGGCAAATACCACTTTTTTGCCATGCTTTATGTTTGTTTGTTGTTTTGCAGTAAAATATATCTTTTTACTGCTGGGAATTTTATAGGAAGAAAAATAAAAATAAAATAAAAATATATACCTGCTTTTCAATCTGTAACCAGCTGATCCTGGACAAATTTCCTCTGTGACGAAGGAGAAGCATTGGTGTTTTATTTCTAAACTTGTAATCTGTCCTTATATCTTGCCTTTTTTTCTCTTGCAAGGCACCTAGAGGGCAAAAGTCTTTTACGAAAATAATGTGTTTATTTTTAGATCATTTTCCAAACATACAGTGCCACAGATCAACTGCTGTTTATTGATTTGTTGTGTCAATAATTCCATTAACTGCACCGCATATAATTCAGAATATGCACTACTGCCTAGGCATATGGTGTGGCACCAGCAGCAGGGGACAAGAAGGAATGAGCGTGAAGAAACTAAAGTTCAGATAGCTCTTTCCTCCTGTGCTATTAAATTACTTGGTTCTAGCACACAGTGCTGAAGGGGACTCTAACAGTGTTCAAATTGTTCTGACTTTTTCTAAGATTTGCTCTTTAAAGACTAAATTAGGTGAAAACTTGAGGGGGGAAAATGAAATGTAAGTGGGAGCTGCCACGAGCCCCATCCCTGCCCCTTTCACAGGATGTTTTTGCAGTGAATACTTCTTCCAGATTAAGTAGGAAAGGCAGCCTGGGATATCGCATATAGTAAAGCTCGAGGTTGTACCGGATCCATCATTGCTCCTGACAGTTTGCGATGGCTTCACGCGGCGCCCTGGAGGCCGAGGCTGCCCAGGGCGGGAGCTGCTCCTCTCTGTTTGCCCTGTATCCTAGGTAAATAGTCGGTGTGTCCCTGTCCTCTCCTCAAGTTCAAGCCTCTGCGCACGCAGACCAAAGTTACTGATAAATTGTTATGAAACCTTCACTCTTATGCAACCTTTAATTCTGTGAGGTGGCTATGTTTTAATCTTTGAATATTCTTTTTTTCAAAAATATTTTTTTAATAAAGTCAAAAATAATTATAGCTTTTTAGTGAAGAACTCAAATGTAATTAAGGGAGGTTTTTTCAGTGTTTTTCTAATATTTCTGTGAGACCTTTAGCCATTTTAAGGAAGACAGTAGAATTAAAATTACCATAATAAACTGCTAAAATTATTGCATCTGTAGATACCTCCATTCTATCCTTGTTGTTTTCCACCAATCCCTAATTTTACCCTCCCTCCTCACAAAAAAAAAAAAAAAAAAGTTTACACTGGACAAAAAGTGTCCGTTCTGTTCCTCGGGATCCATACGTGTAGTCTAGGACCAACAGTATGGTCACAGGGTGTTGTTAAAGCCAGGCAAGGAAAGGCCTGGCCCTTGGCTGGGGCCAAATATGGAATTTCTGTCCCGCCAGTTCTGCTTGTTTGTCCTCATTTGGCTCCCTCATGTTTTGGGGGAATTGGAAAGAGCTGCTTTTGTACTGTTGTCTGCCTTCCATCTCTCTCCCTTCTTCTCCTCTCTACCTTTCCCTTACCAGGCATATGTACAACAGCTTTTTTTTTTTTTTTTTTTTAGGCTGTGCTTTCGTCTAGCAGCTATTAGCCTTCTCGCTATCATCTGATTTCAACCTTAAGTTGCAAATGCCTGTTCTGCTCTTATTTTTGGGTGTTACCATTTTCTTCCTGAAGAATTCAATAAAAAGAAGTGAAAAAATATGTTTCTAAGCTTCTGTTTAGAAAACAAAACTTTTCTCAAATTTTAACTTCAATATTTCATGTTATGTTGTTCTAGGTTGTTGGAAGAGGAGCCTTTGGTGTGGTCTGCAAGGCAAAATGGCGAGCCAAAGATGTAGCCATTAAACAGATAGAAAGTGAATCTGAACGAAAAGCCTTCATTGTAGAGGTACAGTAAGCCTGCTGCAAAACCTTAGTTTTTTTCTGTAGATTTTGTCTTCTCTGTTAAGTTCATGGGTGCATTTAGTGTATTAGCAGACAGACTCCCACACACACAGTTCAGGACACCCCCTTTTATACAGACCAGACCTGCTGAGGCACATTCACTTCCCACAGAAACTGCGATAGGAAAGGGAGAAGTGGCCTCCACTCAGTGGAAGGAGTCAAGATGCAGCTGAACTGCACAGGGCAGTCTTGGAGCTGAGAAACACTTCCAGGTCCTACTATATGAACAGATCCAGAGTAATGTCATACCTGCTCTGAATTGAAGTTTCTCATTTTTCAGTTTAAGATGTAGGTCTTTATGTGTAGAGAAGTCAGGGGGTGGGATTTAAAAAAAAAAAAATGTGTCATCTGAAAATATAATCAAGTTTTTCTTTCGCTGTTGAAGTAATCCAGTGTTAATCATCAGTAGCATTTGTAGCTACATCTGTGTTAGCTCCTTTACATAAACCTTCATTTTTGGTTCTAATATCAGTTATTCAGGATACCGTAGATTTCCTTTCCTAATTTTTCAGCTCAAGTCTGGAAATCATTTGAAATTTCTTGGATGTTTGAAGTAGCTTCTGTCTGGATATGGGGTGTTTGCCGTTTCTGAGGAACCCTGCAGATATCCCGGTTTTCGAAATCTGTTTTGTCCACAATTTTCTCAGTGTTACAGATGGTCTCCTCCTACATTATGTTCCTCATGCTCACAGTAGTACTTGTTCTAACAGGGCTCCTGAGGGCAACCACTGTGGGATTCTTTATACTTTCCTGCAGAAGAAATGTCTAGGAGTTTTTAAAATCTCTTCACGCAATTCTCCTCTTTCATCTGTCATAGCAAGAGCAGGGTTATTAGGTCCATCCTCAAAAATATTTCTTAAATTGACAACAATTTTATTTTATTTTTTTTCTTATGTTTGTTTACTAATGTTTAACTCATTTAAGGACAAATCCTCTTTTTATCCAGTGACGACTACTTTTAAAAGATCTTGAGGAACTTGAATAAACCGGTAAACTTCCCAAGATGCATAGTATTTTCTAGAGGCAAACATTAGATAAATAATTTAAAATAGATATTTGATATCATGCTTATTAGTATTCAGTGAGTAAGAATCGAGGATTCTCAAGATATGCCAAAGATATTAAAATAAATCTCTTAAAGCATGTCGTAGTTTTAGTTTTAAGATTAATATTAAACGTTAAAGGAACTATTTGTAGTTGGCCTGTCAGTGTAAATATTTGTATGTTGCTTATTACCATGGTAAGTTAGTGATGTAATTAATTTTAGTCTGTTTGAATCTGGGATCTGATCAGTCTCTTGACGCTTTTGTGTTGGAAGGGTATTTAAGAAGAGAATCCTACAAATACTTGAAGAACTACTGGGATTCAGGAAACCTACGTAGTGGAAGGAGCAGATGTAATAATCCATTCTGTTCTATTAGAACTTTTGAAATGTGCAGGGAAAAAAGTACCGTCAGTTCCCTAGATGGATGAAGAGCAGCATGTGATAGCACAAAGCTACCTCAGAAACCTGCCTAAAGAAAAGAATTACTTTTCGTTATGTGCTCATCTGTTTACTTGTAAAAGAAAAATTCAGTACAAAAATTTCTGTAGTAGTCATGCTTCTAAACACTCACTAGCCATTAGCCCAGGCAGCAACAGCTCCTTGCAATTACATCACATTAAATCCCATGGTTTATTTTATAGTTGTTTTTCTTTTTTAAAAGAACAATAGTTTTCTTTCCTGTAAAAGACTGATTATGAAGTCAGGAAAACCTTGATTCCAACATAAAGGCCCCAAGAAGAGCAAGAAAACTTCAGAATGTCATAGTTGCACAGTGTGTATTATCTAAATAATTTTACTACACAGTAAAATAAATTATTTTCTTTCACTTTTTAAATAAACTTATTTCCAATTAGACAAAAATCTAATTACATAAAAATGTAAATTGGCATATCAGTGTTGTAATACCTAAAATCTGTGTTATGCAGGGCATAAGGGTTGTGCAGCATATAAAACTGCAATTACTGATGTTATGTATAAGCTGTAAATGTGAAAACAAAGCTGTAGCGTTTTTTGCCCCCCTGTGATTTGAAACGGAGTGTGATTTGTATTGCAGCTTCGACAACTGTCGCGAGTAAACCATCCCAATATTGTCAAGTTATATGGAGCCTGTCTAAACCCAGTAAGTTACAACTGGTCATCTTATATTAATAAAGCTTGCCATAAGCAAGCATCAGCCCACAAAAGTTATGTTTTATATACATTGCATATGTTTTAGCCACAGTAAGGACATATATAGAGAGATTGAGATTGTTTGGTGTTTTTACTTTAATTTTTCTATGGAAAAATAATTTATTTCAAGAAAACCTCAAATGCTATTTCAAGACACCTATTAAATTTCAGTTTATCTTGTTATTGTACAAAATGACATGTGGTATACTAAAAATGTAATTTTGTTCGTCTTTATAGTGTATATTAGCAATATATGCTTCATACCTTGTAAATCAGTTCTGATTCCCTTCTTTGCCATCTTCAGGAGTCACTGTTTCTGCCACAGCTGCAATAATCCTGCAAATTTTCAGAGCAGAAAAGCAAGCAGTGTGACAGGACAGAAATGTCCTTAGCTAATTCTAGTAATGGTTATTTAATTGGTTAAACTAATGCTCAGTCACTGTTTTTAGCTAAATTATTTTGTCCTTGTATTTAAAAATGCTTTGTAAGCTGCTCTAAAAGAAAAACGTATCAAAAGCAAATGAACTGCAATTTGAAGATAGCATTTGTTTGTTTTTCAAGATGGTGGGTGAAAGGAAGTCATTCTCTTCTTTCTTAACTTACAGGGGGAACTAATTAATGAACTAATTAAAAAAACTAATTATTGTTTCTTATACCTATATGTGTCCCCTTCAAACTGATTCTTTAACTCATAGATAAATTTTCTGCTAGCTTAGGTACAACCTCTTTGCAGTTCCTCTGAAAGCACTTTCCTTTCAGGTTACAAAATCTGTTGTCCGCCCCTACATTTAAAACATCCCTATTTTTTGTCCCCTCCCCGCAAAGGTGTGTCTTGTTATGGAGTATGCTGAAGGAGGTTCCCTGTACAATGGTGAGTATCATTTCAACATAGTGTCTTCCTGGAGCTGAAGTGCTGATCTTAGGGAACCCATAATCTGAAATATAATATTGTTCTTATATGTATTTAAAAGAAGTATACTTTAAATAGACTTTAAAAATTATTTTTCAGTCCACTAGTCTGTTTCTTGATGTCAGTTCTTTATGTATAAGCCTACTTAAGGTTTTCCAGTGGAAAAACTTCAGCTGACCTGCCTGTGACTTTTTGTAAATTCCGTGAGCACTTCGCTAGGTATAGCTGAAAACAAGCATCATGGTTCATTTTACTAGTTATTGTATAGCAGAATTCTAATGAGAAAATATTATGAAAAAGGATTGAATTTGGAAATTATTATTTTGACAATTTCCATTATTTTTACATTTGGAAAAAGATTTTGTATTGGTAATGATGAGCTACTGATAAATAAGTATGTAGATTCTGTAAACCTTTTTGATGGATATGTTAACTCCATTGTATCTGTTGTAATATGCAATAAAGTTCTTTTTAGTTTGTGCCTTTGTTTTGCAGTGCTACATGGTGCTGAACCTCTGCCTCATTATACTGCTGCACATGCAATGAGTTGGTGTTTACAGTGCTCCCAAGGAGTGGCTTATCTCCACAGCATGAAACCAAAGGCTCTAATTCACAGAGACCTGAAACCACCAAAGTAGGTTTATAACTAGCATTTAGCTTCTTGTTGCAATTTGATTTTTGTGGTGGTGTGTATTAAATTAATAAAAAAAAATTGGAAAAAAATACCTTTAGGTGGTACTAACTTTATTTGATATGGTGTATTTTAAATGAAAGCTGTGCATTTGAGACTTCAGTTACAGAATAATGATGAATGGTACCGGACACAGACTATGCCATTACCTTCTGTTAAATGGGAAAAACGTCCTGTTCCTGACCTGCATCTTGGAAGAGGGTGTCTAATATGGAATTGTTTCCTATAAAGAGGAAACAGGCTTGGAGATCAGCATCATCATTCCCTTTTTGTGGCAGTCTGCAGTTGCACCAGATAAAAGTTATAAAGTGAAACTGCACCTTGAGCCCCTAATTCTTTCTCATTTTCCCAGTTAAGATTTGGCATGTAACTTTGAATTCTTTCATTTAAAAAATAATTACATGGACTGACATTAATGGGAGTCCTGATGATTCTTCCTTCAGTAAAATTATCGCAGTTGTTAGGTTTTGATCTCTGGCATCTGAGAGATTGATTTTTGTCAATATGTGCCTGGTGGAGTACCATGCCCACATATATTTAAAATATATAATGTACAAATATTAATTATAATATATAAATATATGTAATTATTTTACTATTTCACATGCTCAGAGGAAGTACCAGTGACTTTTTTTTTATTTTATGAAGTTATAAGACTAAATACTGAGAAGCAAACTCTCTTGAATTTCAAAGATATTAAGGTGATAATTGTAATAAAATTTCAGTGGCTTATTACCAGACTGTTTCATCCCACAATCTTGATTTCTTTTTTTGGTTTGTTTGTTTTCTTGACAGCTTGCTCTTAGTAGCTGGGGGGACAGTTCTGAAAATCTGTGATTTTGGTACAGCCTGTGATATTCAAACACACATGACCAACAACAAGGGAAGTGCTGCTTGGATGGCACCTGAAGTTTTTGAAGGTAACAGAGCAATTTACAATGTCAATATTGTGCGTCCTTTTAGGGATGTAACTTTGAAAAAGAATGTCATATAAGAAAAAAAAGAGCTTAATTTACATACACTTTATGTCAAAATCAGCTTATTAAAGTTTGAAGAGGTGAAATAAAGTCTTGGCAGGAGTCTAAATTTCATTTAAAAGTCAGTGACAATGGCTTCTGTATGCTCATAAATTGGCAAGTAATTATAGAGAATTTCAAAGAGCAGCTCCAAACAGACTATATCATCTTAACATTAAACAGCTAACTGCTTGAAGATGTGGAGCCAGTATTTGTTGGTTTTAAGGTTTACATAAGTGGTACCTTTAAACTGCTGTTCCTTCTCATTCTATAACCATAGACAACTAAAACACAGCCGGAGTCTACTTACTGCGCTGCCTCTGAGATTCTTAAGTAATCCCAAACTCTTCTGACATTGAAATATGCTGTCATTACTTTCACTCCATACTCTGTTCGGCTTTTATCTTTAGAATTTCCCTGTTAGCATCTCTAAATTGAACATAATTGCCTTCATTTTCAATCCCCCACTTTGTTATAACTCTAGCCAGATCTGCCTTTTTTTTTTTTTTTTTTGCTTGTCTCCTTCATAGCTTTTCCTTGTCCCTTGAGGTTTCATGTACTTCTTTTTGCACATAGTAAGGAACTCATTATTATCGTTATTAACAATTAATTTAGTTGAGTAGGAGAGCAAACCGTTTCTTGGAATATAGCTGGAGAAGACTAATGGCATTTAGTAATTAGGTAAAATTGCTGTGTGATTATTTGGGAAATAATCCAGTTGGTATTAAACTGCAAATTAGACACATTTTAACCAGTCAGGACTTTTAAGTTTATCATTGTGAGTAGCAGGGGGATTGGAGAAACCATCTCTCTGCTTTAGGAAACAGGAGTCCTGTTGCAACATTTTGCAAGTGCTAAACATTAGCAGTGTTTTCCCAGATTCTGTATCCAAGCAGCCTCTTTTCGTTTCTGTCCTTACCCAGAGAGGAGCAGTAAATCACATGCCTGTACTAAAACTAAGTTTTTTGGAGCCTTCGTTTTGTAGGTACGCAGTTCTCACGGACACTGCTTAGAGGACCACCAAGGCAGATTCTAACGCTTGCTTACATTTAAATTCAATTCTGTAATTGAGGGCCTTCTTTGTTTGTTTGTTTTCCTTTTAGAAATAATGAGTCTGTGTTAAAGACAGATGTTTTGAGTGACGAATCCCCATCTAAGGCAGATCATGAAATAAATTGAAAGTGTATTGTAATAGGGATTTATGGCATCTATCATAATTTCATATAATCTCATATACAAATTCAAAAAGGCAGAATATTATAAATCTTTTATTTCAAATTTATTTTTTGTTGACAGCAAAAGCCTTAGTTTTAAAGTTTTGTACTTTGTTTCTAAAAATATTTACTGTTGGTAACCTTTATATAAGTAACAAATACAAGACATCTAGTAATTTCTATGCCACAGCATATCAAATTCATCTTGAAACAGTCATTAATCACTTAAAATTTTAAAGTCAAATGTCTAAATTTTTAAGAACTTGTTAGCATATACTACTGCATCAGATATAAACAATGGAGTAAATGTTAATATTTTAATTCTGTTTTAGTACTCACTAAGATTTTTAGATGAATAATGAAGGGATGAGAAATTTCTCTGAGGTAGAGGGCAGACTTAGAGTGTTAATTGAAATAATTGCCCTAACATAAAGATTTTCCTGAGGTTTTAAATATTATAGCACCTGAAGCCTTTTACAGATCAAATAATCAAAATCATGTCATTTAGATTAGGGTTAACTGAGGGGCCGGTACTTTAATCTCAGAAATCCCATTTTAAAAAAGTCTTTAAAAGGCTGCATTTCCTTTCCCAAGCAGAACAACATCACTTCCCTGTCGTAGGCCGCACGTCTGCCCCCCGCTCTGTGCCACTTGGACCTTCAGTGGGGCCAGGCAGTTGTTTGCTGCTGCGCAGGCTCTGTCCTCTGAAAAGTCACCTCAGCAGATCTTCACGTGGCAGTGGTGGCAGGAACAAGGGAAAAAGCTGTTGCTTCCTTGTCTTGTTGTCGCCGGGGGCACGGGCCTCAGGGAGGGAGCACGAGCGGCGCGGTGCTCCGCTGCGCAGCAGCGGCAGTGTCAGCCCTCCTGCTGGGCCCCCTTTGCCACGGCTGGTAGCAGCAAAGGGTGAAAATGGAGCCAGCAGTATTGTGGCTGCATGGGAGGACACTGCTTTGCTGTCCTCAGCAATCTGCCTTTGACTTTGATCACTACCTTTGTTTCCAGCATCCCTGCGAACACTGACAGACAAAGCTGGGGTTGTTGTCCCCGTTGAGCAGCTTTTGAACTCCTTAGGCGGTGTTCAGCGGATTTGAGAGGTGTAAGGGATCTTGGAGATGCTACATTGTGATGTTTTGTAAAATCAGCAGCTGGGAGAAGTCCCAGTGGCGTCAGATTCCTTGTGTAGCCTGATCTATTTGGCTTGCAGGCAGCTGCGCCAAGAACACACGGCCTGGTCTGACAGGGACAGGGGCAGGAGAGCGTGGCAAGAGGGGAGCCTGGTGCAGTGCTGTGTTGTGGGGTGGACATCCACATCAAACAAGGCTTCAGCAGTTCCACCACTTATGAAATGATTTATCTTCGTGATGCTTTCTGATTGCGTATTACCAAAAAAAAATCTCAGACATTTTATGCCATTTTTGTTTAGTGCCTGAAGACAGATGAATAAATCCATAGCATTTGTATTCATGAACTTCATTGTCATGTCCCTGATCATTCACATTTCTTTTCAGTGCTTGCACGAGTTATCATTATAGAGCACAAATTCTTCTCTTTCAGTCTCTGAACATTTTTATTCTTTATTTTAATATCATCTAAATGTGATGTCTGCATATTTTACAGGATACTTAGGAACATTTAATTTATGATAAAAGAGCTTGAAATAAGTAATGAATATGACAAAAAGAGCAACTATAATAAGTAAGGAGGAAAATAAGGTGGTGAAGAACTGGGAAATCTATTGATTTGTTCACCTGAAACTTGCTGACTGCTAGAAACTTGTAATTAATAAACAGTGCTAGATGTGATAGAGGTGATATTGGCTAGTGTATTGGGACTACCATCGAAGAAGTGCGTTTGAGGAGAATATTGGAAGGCAACAAGTCTCATCAGTAAGTCCTCAATACAAGAGAGTTTTGAAACTTAATAGATCATGTTTGGGAAGACACCAAGTGGAAAGGATGATTTCCAGAGAGAAACGTTGTTAACTGTCATGCCGACAAATAATTTCAGACTTAGGTTAGCATAGATCAAACTTCAGAAAACTTTTTTTCTCTCTCAATTGAACTAGCATGAGGTGGAAGGAAGCATATAGAACTATTTATCAACAGAAACTGTACTTCTTTTTAATGTGTTGTATAAAAAAGAAACAATTTACAGCGATGGCTTTTTTCCAGGTAGCAATTACAGTGAAAAATGTGATGTTTTCAGTTGGGGTATTATTCTCTGGGAGGTAATCACCCGTAGGAAACCTTTTGATGAGATCGGTGGTCCAGCTTTCCGCATAATGTGGGCGGTTCACAATGGTGAGTTGAAAATATATTACTCCCCTTAAATTGTGTGTTTCACCCATAAATTTGCTAAATGCTCTGAGCTGCTTAAGTAAATACTTTTTTGCATCACTAGATTTTTATCATGCTTCATCTTACTTGAAACTTGTGTGGCGCTTTTACTTGAGGTCTTACTTTTTATGGCCAGCATGTTTTAAATGCTTGCTATTTTCTGTACCCTATGTCTTTACATCTCTTGTGTTAAAGAACTTCTTTACTGTGAGGGTGACAGAGCATTGGAACAGGCTGCCCAGAGAGGTTGTGGAATCTCCTTCTCTGGAAATCTTCAAATCCCAGTTGGACGTGACCCTGTGCCACGTGCTGTAGGTGTCCCTGTTTGAGCAGGGGTGTTGGGCTAGTTGGACTAGATGATCTCTAGAGGTCCCTTCATATCTCAACCATTCTGTGATTCTATGAAACGCAACTGAGTGTTTATAGGTAGCATTTGTTGTTGAAATGATAAAAAAGTAGAAACTTGAACAAAGAAACAGCTGAATAGTATGTAAAATATTTGAATAAAATATATAAAATTGAAAACATGCATATATTAATTCTGTCGTAGGCCATGAGAAAACAGCCCAAAATAGGTCCTTTTACTACTTTATGGCAGTTCCTAAGACCAGAAACAGCCTCAGAAATACATATATTTTTTTCCTTGTAAGTACAGTACTAGGAATCAAAGACTGACTACTGCTTCCTTCCTGACTTTGATTAGACCTTTACTCTCTAGAAAGTGGTAATGTTTTAATTAGCTATTGTAATTAGAATTGCAGTACATCTCAGTTAATTTATTCAAACCACTACCAAAATAAGTTTGTCATTTTTAAAAAAGAACAAAAGTTGTTGTTCTACGTGCTTGTATGTAACTGCAACATGAACATAGTGTAAGCAAAGGGACTATTTTGTCAGGGTGGGTGTGTTGGGGTGTGCTTTTCTTTGAGATGCAGTTAAGTGCAGGCCGGTTCCTCAGACTACAATTAGCTATATGTTTTTCTGTACTTATTTAACAAAATATCAGAAAAAGGTCTGTCATTGTCATCCTTCTTATGGTCCGCTAAGCGAATTTAAGGAGTTTTTCTAACTTCACTTCTAGGTACTCGGCCACCACTGATCAAAAACTTACCTAAACCGATTGAGAGTTTAATGACCCGTTGTTGGTCCAAGGATCCTTCACAACGACCATCCATGGAGGAAATTGTCAAAATAATGACACATTTAATGCGGGTAAAAAAATTGCTTAAGTATCCTAATCCTTTTTTTAAACAGTTACATTATGAAAGGTAGGCTTTTTTTTTTCTCCAGTGTTTTACTCACACTTTTTTTTTTCAGATGCAAATTAAAGCAGAATTTGTAGTCAAGACCTTAAAAAGATATGAAGTACAGTGGCAGAGAAGAGGATTAATTCCACTCCTCTGCCTATGGGACCTGTGCTAGATCAAACCATTGCTGGTTGGACCAGCAAAATTTTGATTATTACAGAGCTCTCCTCAGTGTGTCACTTAGCCATTTCCTGGATTTTTGACTGCTTCTTTGAAGGCCAGAATATGCATAGTTCCTGTTTTTTGAACACTGCAAAGTGAACAGATGCTCTCTAGGTCTGAAATACTTTTGTGAACAGCAGTATTTTTTCATATGTCAGTTATTTCAACACCCTTTTTTGGGGCAGCGGGGGGGAGTAGGAATTACTACTTTATTAAATAATCTAAAAGTAGAAAATGATACTGCGTAAACAAAACTTTGTGAGCACCACAGGTGTAGTATTCACATTTTTTTCTAATCCAGAAAGCTTTTGAAAGAATGACAAGTTGAATTTCTTATCTTAAGTTTATTCATTTGCAGTGATGTCCTTCAATATCTTATCAATCCAATATGTTTTTGTAATATTAAATATTATGGAATATTCATTGTCCTATACATATTACATTAATACTGGGTAAGACACAGATGGCATCATGGAAGTGATTTCAGTCTGATTATCACCAGTGCAGGGTTTCTTAGAAATATCCTTACAGAACCAGACTGAAAAAGAGCTATCGTGCCATAATGTTTCATTTGTAACAAATATGGAAAAATTAATAAAAAACCATACGTGTTTTTAATATATTTCTTAAAATAGTTGCGTTTCGCTTTTGGGGGAGTTAATTATAGATTATTTTTATAAATTACTATTTAAAAAATTAAAAACTTTTTTTTTTTAATTAAAGCATTGTGTTTTTTTCCCACAGTACTTTCCAGGAGCTGATGAACCTCTGCAGTATCCTTGCCAGTATTCAGATGAAGGCCAAAGCAATTCTGCCACCAGTACAGGTAGGCTTGCATAAATGAGAGAAAAGGAACATGAAATGATAAAGGTGGGTCATAAAGCCCAGTCTTAGCTTGATTTTGAACTTGAATTGGGAAAGCTAACCTTTCCAAAATTTTAGACATTATCAAAGTCCAGTATTTTGTTAATATCTTACACCACATCATGTTCAATGTTTTCATCCAAATAGTTCTGCTGGAGTGGGCCATGAATGAGAATTAACATGTAGTTAAGGGCTATCTCAGAAAAGGTCCAAGGTTTCCCTTTTTTTCATTAAGTTTGCTAGCATTTGATATTTTTACTCATGTGGAATGTTCAGGAAATGTTTTTTTTGTTTGTTTTTGTTTTTTTTTTTTTAACTGTTTTAGAAACTGTAGCTGTTTTCGGTTCTGATCTCCACAATTTAAACTTGAAGTTGTTTTATGTTAAGGTGAAATAAGTATACTAATATCTACTAAGTACAAAACTGCTTCTAATTCACAGAAAGCTGAATGGAAAAAAAACTAGGGTAGGTTTTCAAGTAGTCTTGCCCACAGAAAAAAAAATATAATAGGAAATAAAGATCGTTTATGTTCTCAATTTGTCGACTGGTTTTCATCCTTATTAGTTTTCAGCTGAAACGTCTTCACCTTCCACTGCTTGTTTGTTGTTGTTGTTTGTTTTTCTCCAAATTCCTGTTATTCAGCATAAAGCCTGGTTTGCAACTTAAAGTAACTTGAACTTGCAAATTGCAATACAAAATCTTTTCAGTTGTAGCAATATATTGGCTTTACTTTGTATTTAAATTTGTTCTCCACTCTTGTGGAGAGTGTGGAACTCTCTTGTTCTCTTGTTCTCCACTCTTCGGCACATGATTTTTAAGATGTGATTTATCTTTTTAAATTACCAATATATATTGGCTGTTACTTTCAGGCACTTGTTTCCGTTGTTATTCTAAAGCACAGTTAATGATTAACCTTATTGTTAATTGTGAGTGAAGTGACTGGGTTGTGTTGTTAATGTAGCATCTACCACAACAGTTTCAGAAAAAGCTAAACGTGGAGTTCAAAATGTCATCCAAATGCTTAGTAGGATATTCTGGCTTTTTTCCCCTTTTATATTTTACTAACGGATCTAAGCAAATCTTGCAGCATGACTTTTTTTTTTTTTTTTAACTACTTTAAAACAAAATTAGGCTTCTGAGTAGACGCCAGTAAGCAATACACTTGGTATTTATAGTGAAAAGGCAGTTTCTTAAATGTTTTTCTATGTTGCTGATCTCTAGGTTCATTCATGGACATCACTTCCACAAACACAAGTAACAAGAGTGATGCTAACATAGAACCAAGCGACTTTCAAGGAACTTCTACTAATGACACTATTAAGCGTTTAGAATCAAAATTGGCACAGCAGATGAAAAATACAGCTAAGCAGCCGGTAAGCAAATCATGAATTTTCAAACCATAATAATGAAGTAGGTTTTAGCTGAAGAAATGATGTTATTGCTGTGATTGTTAGATATCTATTTTAGTTTGTTTTTCAATTTAGCAGCCTTTTTAAATGTATGGTTTCTAAATGTATTGAGTGTTTTTTTGCATATCCTGATGGTCTATAGAGACATAAGATTTTGCTTGTTCACAGTCCATTTTTATAAAGGATTGCAACAAGGAGGATATTTTGCTTGTAACATAGACACAAGTAGAACACAAACTGGATTCCTCTGTCTTGTATTCTTGCTATAGAGAAAAGTAATAATACTTATTTTGTCAGTAGTAGTAACCAGAACTTGCTTCTAGGTGGTAGCTGCAGTTACAGCAATGTCCATAATGAAATGAGAACAGAGTGAAACAACTTCTGAAAAGCAGAGAAACATGAGGAATAACATGAGTCAGGAAGGAGCTCAAAGCAGCAAGGCAGTATTGTACACTTCACCTTTTTTAATACGAAAATTGCACATTGGGCAGTGGTAAATCAAAAAGAAAAATTATTTTCCGGATAACCACTTGCTCTAGCTGTTACAAGAATAAGACAGGTAGTCTTGGACCCTACCTGGAAATATAGAGGTGATTCTCAGAATAAGTTTGTTCATTAACTTAAATTAATGGTAAGTTGAGTTGGTCACCAACATAAGTTAATGATGCTCCCTCAAGAAATGCTTTAAAGATACTGAACTTAATAAAATACTAGTGTGTCTTTTTTCAAAAGTAGTATAAAATTTAAGTCAGTAAAGAACACAAAAAGACAAGGAAAATGCTGAATGATTCAGAAAATATACAGCTCTACTAAGATATCTATGAAACCCTAAGCACTTCATTTAATTTAAAAGTATTCCTTAGTTTAAAACTAACATTTATATTTGAAACTCCTTTATTTATATTAGCACCAAAGTAATAGTGACACATGAAAGGATTAAGCATTTATGGGAATTACGAAAATACTAAGTTGTATTTCATCTGGGATAGAACGCTAGAAAGATAATCTTGTGCCAACACTGGCATCAGTCTGCTCAATTGCAGTCTTGGTAAAGTTAGATTCTTTTGAAAGTTGCAAAATACTTGGTTCTGTGCACCAATAATATGAAAACATTTTAGCTATTGTAAATTTAAATACAAATTTAAATGCTGTCATTTTTAAGTGCAAATTACAGAGATATATTTTAGCCTACATACTGAGCGCTTTATGGAGGGGCTCCTGCAAATATGTATTTTTTTCTTTTTAAAAATGTGGTTGTTGAAACAGGGTGATCCTGGCCGTTTGAGTTTACCCCCATCTCGTGGGAGCAGTGTGGAGAGCTTGTCAGATGTTCGTGGGCGACCACAGTCAGCCCTCGTTTCAGGAGAAGCCAAAAGGATGAGTGCTGACATGTCTGAAATAGAAGCACGAATAGCTTCCACCACAGGTAAAAATAAAGGGTGTTTGTGGGATAGAATGAGGAACTGGAAGAAAGGAAGGAAAATGCAAAACATGATAGTGTTACAGATGGTTAATAAGATTAGCCATATGAAAATACTTAGACTTTGCATGTACTCCTTATTTTCATTTAAGTGTGGAGAAAACAATGACTTATTTAACAGTTGTGCACTCCTCTGTCACAAAGGTTGCACATATTTAATTGGGGTCTTCTAAGATTGATTATAGAGAGGTTATGTTTGTTGAATTAGATTTTCACCTTTCTGAAATAATAGAGGTTTCTTTTTTAATATCGTTCCTATTCCAAGTGCACATGTTTTTGCCTTTGCATCTAAATTAATATTATTTAATCTCTGCTGTCAAGGTTATTATCAAAGTTATTACTGAGATAACATTTCCTTCGAGATTATTTTAATACATTGGAATGAGAAGGTGGGTTTAGAATTTGGCATGTTCCCTAAAAAGTTTTAAAATCCATTTTGAGAGAATTGGATTTCAGAAAGAGAAACTAGAAGGTTATTTTATTTATCATAATACCAAAGTGCTTCTGTCCCTTTTTTTTTTTTTTTTTCCTTCTCCTTCACCCTCTCTTTTTTTAAAAAAGCGTAACTACAGTTATGTTGCTGGATTTGCTTCAGGTAGTCATAAACTAGTCTGTCTAAATACTGAATTTCTGAGTGAATTGGAGTTTATGTGTAAGTATAAATTCATAATCTTATGGTGAAAACAATCTTTATTTTTTTTTCAGAAAAGCAAATTAATAAAAATCTGTATACCTGACACTTTCTTGTCTCTTCTCTTCATCAAAGATACTGTTGATAAATCTAAACAAACTTCCCACGTGAAACTTTTTATTAAGATACATAAGCACAGATTTAAATAATGAGACAAAATTACCTTGATTAGTCCAGGTTTATTTATTTCACGTGGTCTTTCTCCACCTACCTTAAATATTAGGGTAATTGAGTAACTATAATCAGGAAACGTGCATCTCATTATGGCTATCTTCTGCATTATGACTATTTGATTTTTTTGATCATTATTGTATTATAATTACTCCAAGATCCTGTTTTACTAAATACTGAAGATACTCACGAGATAATACTACCTTCCCCTGAACAGTTTTTACATTAATGTTTTTATTTTAAGGTCTTACTCTAAGATTTCTTTTCTGTACTGTCAATATTTGACTAGATGACTGTGTAGCACTTCTCACTCTGAATATCTCTAAAGGTTTCCTAACACAGAAGGTAGCTGTGTACTTACCTGATGATAACAACATGTTGTTTTTATTTTTGAGTATGTCAAGACACTAGAAACACTAGACACTACGACACTAGAAAGTCAGTGCAAGATTTTGACTTTAGTGGAGATGACCTTGACTCTGTTGTGCGAGCCTTTTAATTTTCCTGCTTTGTCTTTCATAAGTAGACTGTTTTGAATAGTAATTGCTATTTCAGAATATTTTTAAGATTTTCATGGCTGTAGGGTTTCCTTTTCTTATAATAAATGCATATATTTAATATACTGTTTTATTTAAACAAAAATACTTAAGGCAGTGGTGGTCTTCTGGAAATAAGACCGAATCCATCTAGCCTTTTAAAAAAAGAGCTGAAAGCACTGGTTTAGTTGTTTGGGTTTTGTGGTTTTTTTTTTCTTTTTTCTTTCTATTTTTTCTTTTCAACTGTGTGACAGGAATGATATGCTGTGAATGTGGAAAAAAAAAGAATCATGGGTGTGGTGATACTGGGCTATTGTTAAGAATAAATAAGTTAATTATTTAGTGTTCTTGTTTCATCCATTTCTGGATTAAGCATAGAACCTATCACACTGCACATTAATATTAGATAGCAAGTCTGAAGTGAACTTACTGCAACCATATAATAAGGAGGTATATTTATATTTTTCTTCAAATAGGTATTATATAATCTTAAACTAACAAGTGGAAAAATAAAGAAAAAAAACCCTAATGTTTAGATTTTATTCCAAAACATAAAATATTTCTTGAACATCATTCGAAAATGAAAAGGTTGGTGGTGGTATCCTGATTTCAAAAAAAATGAAAAAAAATCAGTAATAGAACAAAAGAATAGACGTCAGGATTGATTACTGAATCTAAGAGAACAATAAGCATAATTTAGGGACAGATTAGATTTCACTTAACAAGAAATGATGATTCAAGGAAACATAAGCTCCAACTAGTAGTCTTGTGTGTAAAATAATGCATACCTGAGACTCAGGAGGAAGTATAATGTGACTTAAGGAGATCAAGAATATATTTCTGTTTTAAATATTCAGACGATATGAAATAATTTAATTTATTCTCTGTTTAGATAACTACATTTGATTTTTCCCCTTCTTTGTTGCCATGCTGCTTTCTGTGTTTGACTTTTATGTTGCTAACTATAACTAATTACACTTTGTTGTATTGATGGCTAATTCCGCATTTTTGCTTTTTAACAGTTGCTTTACTATTTTGTAAGCATGAGTGGAAGGCAATGCAGTTTATTCTGCATGACATATTCTGCATGGTTGATAGTTTAACAAAATTTATAAAAAATGCAATAATAGGAATTCAGTAATTTTGCTATTGCCATTTTAGTGTTTTGCATGTGTATTGTATATGTGTATTTTTTCAGCCTATTCCAAGCCTAAACGAGGCCACCGTAAAACTGCTTCATTTGGCAACATTCTGGATGTCCCTGAGATCATCATACCAGGTATCGCAGACCAGGTGAACGGGTCTATTGATTAAGATGCTGGAATAATGATCAGACTGCTGAAAATACTTTTTGCTCCAGCTGCTCTAAGGCAGAGCTAGAAATATCCCGATAAATTTTTTCACAATGTCTCTATAAGGAGAAGCATGATCTCTTAGTGCTAACTTTTAAAAAGTAAAGCTTTTTTTTTTTTTTTGTCTTTATGACTCTTATGCTAGATTCCTACTATGCAGCAGAAGTACATATGCAGTGTTTTATTGCAAAACTTTATATTTATTGAAGAATGGACTTACACAGATCTGGGCAGGAATTTTCAGTGTAACTTACATAATCAACTAAAATCTTCTAGAGCTAAAATAGGTTTGCATGAAGTATTGTGTTTAAGTTAATGCAAACTTAAATTATTAGGACAGGCTTCTGACAGGAAGAAAATAAGGATAATCAGCACCATAGCCGGTAATTTCAGTTGGAACTCTAATGAATAATTCTCATCAATCTTAAGTCTAAATTTAATTAGGAATATATCTTTTCCCATTTCTTTTTTGCAATCAAAATGGATTTATCTCTTTCATTTCATACTTCTCAAGGACTAAAAATAAGTATAATCAATCCCAAACTGTGATAGGTGCACTATTAGTGGCATGCAAGTCACTTCAAAATGATTTGTCAGAGTCAGGAGCTGCCAGTAACAGTATCTGTTGCTAATCAGGATATCCATTAAAAACTGTGAACCTGTACTCTAAATATGTCCTCTGATGAAGCGTCCGTTTAAATCTTGATCATACGTAAATCTTGGTAAATTTCTATTACCCAGTGATTAAAAAAAATAGCTATTAAAACTCTTTGTATGAGTTTGATATTTCAAAGTTGAATGCAAAAGATGCAGCGCTGCACAAAAAGGTTTTTTTTTTAAATAACTTCATTGAAAGTTATGTATAAAAACATAAAATGTCAAAATACCTGGCAAAAAGTAACTGCCAAGAAAATAAGACACTCTCAGTGAAAACAAAAACCTCTTTTGCATTGAGACTAATAAAGGAGCAAGAAGCTACGCTAGTGTAGCTTTCTACTCTCTTTTCAAACAGTCCTGGCCCGCCATGACACGTAGGAATTACCGAGAGAGTGAGGAAAAGAAGGGGCAAAGCCACAAAGAGGTCTGTCAAGCTTGGCCTTGTCAGGAAGGAATGGGAGCGTGGCGAATACACCAGGAGAGGTTCCTTGGGCACCTGCTACCCTGTTTGTCTGCCCGTATCAGTACACAAGGCTTCAAAAACAGCTTTGCGACTTTTAGAGAAGAAAAATTAAACATAAAAAGGTCAATGAAACTTAATGCCACGTAGTTTTCTCAAAATAGATTGTGCCAAACATATCTGATACCTTTTTGAAGTCTGTCTCATTTAGGCAGAGGGACTTAATTAGCTACCCTTCTTCTGGACAGTTTTAAATATTAATTGAACCTGATGAAATAAGAATTCTAATGTGAGTTTGGGATAGTTAAACGAGAAATATCAACCCGTAGAACTAGAAGAGTGTATAGGATTGGAACAGGCATAGGAATTAATTTTCTCAAAGGTTTAATCTTCAGCAGTGTAAGCCTTACATGAGTGCTATTGAAATGTGCTGCAAATGCTTTTCCAGGAGCTGTTATTAAAAAAGAAGGGGTTGGAGTAGGATGAACTGTGTTGTGATTCAAAACTCATGTAAGCAGGGTAAAATTCGGAGTCATGCACTGAAAGACTAATAACAATCCCTTCAATAAGATAAGAGCTTTCTGGAGTGGAAATGATTACAGAGGACCATAGTATCTGCACACAGCTGAATCCAAGGCAGAATAAGTCATTCATATGATGTAATTGAAAAAAAAAAAAAAAACTGTGATATTTTCGGTTTCATTTCCAGAGGTCTTGTTCCAAGAGAGATATGAAAATAAATAAAACTTAAAAAAATAAAATAAAAAGGGCATTAGTGCTATTTTCTGAGTGCTTGGCGGTCTGATCTGGAACACGACACACTATTCTGGTGAGCCATATGAAAGAAACATAGGCGCGCTCTGAATTAACAGCAAGAAACTCTTCTTGGATGGTATGGAGAATGCGAAAAAAAGAAACTAACATGGCTTTTTTAAGCCTACAAAGTGAAAGTTAAGAAATGAATAATCTTTTTCTATAAATGAATCTGCAGATAAAGACTAGTGAGAGAGGCACTTAAGGTAAAAAACAGTATTGGCACTAAGGGATAAAAATGTAAGTTGTCTGGGCTGTAAAAAGCTGTCAGAACAGCTTCCCAGTACAAATCACAGGGCCAAAAAAAAAAAACTTTCCTATTCATAAAGTAGAGCTTAATTTTTATATGAAAGGGAAGTGAATATCTGTGTGGCAAGATAGCCCTGTGTTTCTCAAGAGCTTCTTGCTCTTAATATCATGTCCTTGCTTCTCACTTCATTCTTTTCCCTGCTGCCTTAGCGCAGCCTTCAGTCCCTGCCCTTTAACGCGCTTCCCCCTTCCTAATTGCGCTCCTGGCCCCCAGACCAGGACCCGGAGCAGCTCCCGCCACGGTACCCGCTTCCCTGCCGCGCCGGCTCCTCGGCGCGTCACCGCCGGCCCCGGAGCAGCCTCTGCGGAGCGCAGGGCAGAGCAGCTGCCCCTGCTCCGCTCCGCTCCGTTCCGTGGGGGCGCAGGGCAGCGCGGGCGCTCCCGGGAGTCAGCTGCTCCGGGCAGGGCTATTTTGGAAATGCGAGTGCCGCATCTGCCAGCGTTCCCTGCCCTGTGCTGCCCTGGCTGCCTCCTTCCATCCGCTGCTTAGACCCTTTAGGTTGCAGGAAGTACATTTTTCTCATCTCAAAATAATCTGTTTGCAAAAGTAGTTTTTTCAGTATACATTGGCTGTTCTTTCTAAATAGTTTTTCAAATAAGCATGAACTGAACTTTCTTTAATTTGTGATGCTGTGTTTTGAGACTGGTATACAAAACTTAAAAATTAAAAAATGGATCAGCAAATTCCTTTCTAGTTTACCAGTTTGGTCAGTGATCTCTCTGTGGTTGTAAAGTGCGAACAGGTAGCCAAGTGTACTGCCCCTTTATAGCATACATAATAGACTCCAAAATTTTATCTTATAGATAAATATGAAAACCTAGGCATCACCAAAAGCTTAAATAGCTATATGTTTAAAGAAAAAAAATGTATAGTTTGTAATATGATCAATAAAGATATGTAGTATGCTCTTTGGATGCAAACCAGGTGAGCAGCATCTGGCAAGGGTGCCTGGAGGTAAAGGGTTTATTTATTTATTTATTTTTCCCACTGGCAACATTATTCATCTCATGCATTTGTGTCTGTAATCTCTTCATTTAAAACTTTGTGTCACACAGGGTTGTAGGATTTTTATAGTGTTGACACTACATAAATGATTATGCAAGACAGAGCTATTTTGCTGGGTATCTTTAGAAGGTGTATAGGAATCATGGATGCTTCAGTCTGTAATTTTTCTGGATGCTTTCAAAACTGGTGTAAGACAGAAATCCCATCCTGTGTCCTCAGATCACTTCATTCTTCCAGAATCAAGATCAATGTCTTCAATTTTGTGATTTATTTAAAATGTTGTCTTTTTGTCTTCTGACACTATTATATTCACTCATGATGCTCCAGTCTAAGTGAGGTTTGATTCTAACAGATGCCCAAAAAGGGTAGTAACTAAGGGGGAGGGACTTGAGAGTGGTGTGCATGGAAAAGAAAGGGAGAACATGATCTAGGTCCAACAAATAGGAAGCCTAAAATCTAAAAAGAGGGGAGTGAGAGAGAAGCTTGTGCTTTGCCTCAAGGATGCAAACAATGTATTATTGTTTTCATGAGAGAAGCACAAGCAGTGTCTATGTTTGTGAAAGCAGCTTCTTGTTTCTGAGACAAGGAAGTACGTTCGTGATGCTCTGGGGGAAAAACTAGTGTGAGAATCTTGAAGCAGCTAAGAGGGAGTAAGCTGGGGAGCACAATAAGAGTAATGCAGGAAGGAAGATGGTAATTTCCTTGTGAGAAAAGGAAAAGCTGGAGGTCAAAAAAAGGGAAAGTGCAGAAAGGATAAGGAAAATAAAATGGAGGAAGATAGTTGAAGGGAACGTATACCTTCAAATATTTTTCTTATCAACAATGCTTTGCAGCATTAAAACTACTATAAAACCCTGTCTTATTATTTCTCTTGATTTTTGACTCCTAGGTATGGTAATGAATGAGTTTCCTCTGAGGCTCTTTTCCTCCATTCTCCTCTCCACCTGCCTCCTGTCCTTAGCTTTTTTTTTTTTCTTTTTCTCTCTCTCTCTTCACATTCATTGTATCTTCATGTGTCGTTAAAGAGAACATAGCTTGGGCGTTCCAGTAATTGTACTTCTTGCCCGCAAGATAGGCACTTTGAGAAAGGCTGAAAGCAGGACCTCGCCACTACTCTTAAGAATTTGGAGCTTCTAAACCTATGTTACAGTAAGCGTTTGAACCGTAAATGACGTATGATTTCATAGGATATATTACTGTTTCAGAATATCTTTTTTAAAAAAGTATTGCAACAGGTTTTTTTTTCAGTTCATTTTAGCCTTTTTTAGAGCTGCATTGAATTGAAGTTTTTCTGTGACTTTAGATGGTGATCAGGCATTCAAAACTCTCTTTATGTGTAATTGGATGCCTGTTGATTTGTAATCTTAAAGCCCTATGAACTGTTGAAATCCTGACATAGTACATCTGTATATTGCCTACTGTTACAGACAGGGGGGTGGCATTTATGTATGACTCTTACAAAGAGGAAAATTAAATTTTAAATTGATGTAGAGGTAAGAATAAGTTTAAAATAACATAAAGCATAGAGATGTTGGAATAATAATTTCAAATAAAGGTTTCATATTGTATAGTATATTTTTCAATCAAAATTAATTCTTGAATCTGGAGCAATAAGTATTTGTTGATTTGTAGTCTGTTTCTGCTTTGTCTAAGCTATTTGCCAGATGTCTGCAGTAATTACACTAACTCAAATGGCATTGCCTAGTAGAGCTTGCTCTTATCTCATGCTACTAATTTGAATATTTTTCATTTAAAGATATTCATTTATTAGAGCACAATGGCTTTGGCCCCTCCTTCTTCCCCCAAAGCATTTTCTTTACTTTCTTGCACCCCACCCTGATTATTTTAAATTTTTGGCAACCATGATCTAATACTTCAGCAACACATGTGCTGGGTTCTTTAAATTCACAAATGTTGCTAATCTGAAATGAGAATTTCAGATATTTTTGCAAGCTTATTTCAGCTGGGCTAATTTTAGAATGGTGTTGTTGAATGAAATGTGCACATAATTGTTGTGTCAATCATGGGTGGATCATCCATATCTTGAGTATTGCGATGATCTATAGCAGTTGGATGAATTATCTATAATATATAATTGTATAATGTATGATGGTGTTTTTAAATGGTCAGGTAGCTAAAATGGGCATATTCAAAAATTTTGCTGTGTCCTTGTCCTTCATACATACTCTCACGTCTTCATAAGTATTTAATGCAATATAGTTATTGTTGCTTAGGTAAGTATCTGTGTTCTCTGAATTTAGGAAGCAAAACCTCAAGGCCACAGAGAAGCTGCAATTCAAATTCACTTATAGCCAGAACCAAGAATATATTCCCAGTCTAGAATCTTTCTCAGTTTTGTGATGTATTTGTTTTTCATAGTAATTTCTAGAGATTTTAGAGTATCAAATGTCTTGACAAAGTGGTAAAGTGGCACCAAATTTTGTATTGCTGCTTTGCGATAATGCGTTCCTATAGGCAATAATAACTGATACTTAGAATTCAAAATATGTTTCCTTAAAAACGTATGCATTAATATTAAGCAGTTAGTTTTACATCTTTGTAGCAATTGCTGTGAATCAAAACTTCTATTAAGAAGGGCTGTGCAGTAATGCTGGGATGATGCTGAAGAAAAGAAATATCTAAGACGTTGAAAAGCTAGAAGCCTGTTAGAGGACACTGCCGAGCAAGCTGTGCTGCTTGCTGAGTTGCTGTGGGGGCTAGGGGTGCAACTGCTGTAGTACGTGTTTCGAATGCTACCCACTAGTAGAAAAGTTACGTAATGCAGATCTAAGACCAAGAATTTTGAGCATTGTCAGCTGTTACTCAGGGCGTTTTGGTGTTTCCTTTTGAACAGCTGACCTGCTCTCAAGAGACAATATAAACAATCCCAGCAATAAAAATCAAAGTGCTTGGGGAGATTCTATTGCATAATCTGCTTTATTTTTAAGGAGACTCAGTTTCCTGGAAATGCCTTTGAGTGTCAGTGCGGCAATTTAAGCTGTTCTCTCTGGCTGTCACTAGTGGATAATTGCGAACAGGTGGGAGGAGAAGAGGAAAAGATTACGGCATTGTGCTCAGGAGCTGATAGCAAGATGTGGTTTAGCTCCTTTTCACACTTTTTTAGAGCATGAGAATAGGACTTTCTGTTTTGTTCGTATTTTTCTTCCTATGCAGAGGACAAAGAGCTTTCCCTTTGACCAGAAGCAAGCGCTTTTGCTTCTTAGTTTTAGTAGGTGGAGGCTTAGCGCAGCGAGAAGCCCTTGCTATGTTTCTTAAGCACGCCGAAGAGCGACAGGTTAGAGCTGGCAGCGCGTTATCGTAGCAGTCTAGCTTTTAGAAATCCCCATAACGTAACGCACTTGAAATAGATGTCGTCATCAGCTCCTGCCCCGAGTACTAAGCCTGGTCAAATACATGTGACAGAAGATGGTGGAGCAGAGTGCAGGAGCTATTCATGTGGTAGGAGTGGGGGTTGTATTAGGCGATACTTTTTGTTGACAGGCCAGCACGTTTTGAGTTAAAATTCTGCAGCTGTCTCTCTCTCTCCCCCTCTCTCACTTTCTCTCTGTGGATTTGTACAAATTCCAAGCTCCTCTGCCACAGTAGCACCCTTAGTTTACTCTGAATAGATCTCACGGGTTTGTTTTGTTTTGTTTTCCCAGCAGGAAACGGACAGCAGAGGCGCAGATCCATTCAAGATCTCAGTGTTGCTGGAACAGAATCCAGTCAGGTAAAAGGCTTTGTGTCGTCTGTATCTTTCAGTAGAGCCCACGGGAATTCTGTACCAGGAAACTGCTTTGTTGAGTTTTCACCTCCGATACTTGCGTGGGAATGATGTGGAGGGTGACCTGGGATGTTTTAACTGGACAGAGCGGAGCGTTGTTTGGGTTGCATTTAAGTCAGAAGCTGTGGGGCTCGTCCATGAGTGAGATTCTAGGTGAGAGCTGCTACCTGCAGAGCTCACGTGTAGCCCGTATCCCTCTGTGTACAAACAGTGTGTACACAGCCACGCAGCGTGGCTTGAGGCAAATGTCACGCAGGAAAGGCTTTCTACTCGCTATATGTGGAAAACATCTGTAATAACTGCTTATGGTCATCTGAAGCAGTGATGTGTAGCTTACGTTCACATTTCGCATAAAAATAAAAAGTATGCACATTAATAATAAATTTATAATATTGATCTCTGAACCCTGAAAGGTGACTTTTAGTATTACCACTCTGATTTCTTTCCAAAACGTGTCCAAGAGGATGCTATTATTGAGCACAAAAAAATCACCATTGCAATGAGATATTTTATAATATCAAAGCTTTACATAGTATCTGGTGTCTTAAGTGCCATGGTAACAGACACAGTGGTACACTGTGTAAAATTTAAATTAACTGCAAACAACTTAAATGCAAAAAGTACACTTAAAGTTTGATTTGATTGTGTTTTATTTTGTGCTTTAATCACTACCTGTCTGTTTTACTAACTCAGTAGAGGATATTTGGTCATTAGTGTGAATTAGCAATTTTGAGATCCCTGTTATTTTTTGTATGTGGAAAAATACTCAGCGTGTTCATCAGGTTAATCAGGTTTCCATATTAAACATCCTACTGTAATAAACTAAAATAGGTGGTAATTTTAGGGGTGTGTCTTTATCAGGGAGATTAACATTTGATCCTTCTTTAATTTTGTGGAGCAAGGTAGCCATGGAAACCTCATCAAACCTGTGATATTATTAGTCCAGCTTTATACATTTATCAGAAAATAATGGAATGATTCTTAAATGCATTCTAATATCATTTAAAAAGGCAGGTTTTGAGGGGGAAAAAAGTTCAAAATTTAGTGAAGAATTTGATTACCTTATTCAGTTAATTCTAGAACAAAAATCAGGCAGGATTTGGGGGATGGGGGAGTGGGAGCCTGTCACCAAATACCACTGTTTGCCGTATAAATATATTAAAGTGTAGCTTTTTAAATAAGATCTCCAGTTTATTCATTTTAATGAATAACATTTGAACAGATAATTTCAGCATTTACTTCAGGTGCTAACTCCTGCAGAACCTCTCTTTGAAAGTTGTTATGCTGCTAGTAGATGTTCTGGATGAATTATGCTTGTCACTAGGAAGATAGAGACAACTTTTCTTTACCTCACGGATCTCTGACGAGGCTTTATAGAAGTCTATCTGTCATGTTTTATTTTCCTGCTTGTGGTATTCTACATATTGGAAATCTAAGAGAAAGAATTATAGTTCCTTTTTTTTTTTTTTTTTTTTTTCTTTTTTTTTTTTTTTTTTTTTTTTTTTGCCTTAAAGAGCTTTGGAAGCACTGTGTTAAAATCCGATAAATTGTATATTTTAACAGGCACCTAAAACGCACTTTGGAGGACACTCGTGCACTACCATATAAATAAATAATGAAATTTCATAGGTTTTGGTATAAGAACAAATAGAGAAGTATTGAAACAGATTCTAATTATTGATACATATATTTTAAAAATCAGAAAGCAATTCTTTAAAAGCCAGCACAATGTACAAAAGAATACCAAAAAAAAAAAAAAAAAAGGCAGCAAAAGACCTCATTTCTAAGGTTCAGTGTTCCTTTTTATAAGTTTCCGTAGTTCTGGACCTCCTTCCCCATAATTTTTATTAACAAATCTTCAGCTGCTATCCGTATAGCCAATCTACAAGGCAAAGCAGAGAAATTTCATGTGTGACCAGCTTAGCTTCAGTCAGTTTATCATATCTCCCCACAGGCACTATAGCCTATAGGTTATCCTTTCTAATGTGAGAATCCCTTTCCCCATCCTCTTTTCGTTGCAAACATCCTTGTTCTCTGCATTGCAGTCCCTATTTCACCCACTCTTCTGCATAGCCTCCTTCAGTGATCTCACATCTCTCGGTGCTTCCGTTCTGGCACCCTGTCCTTTTAAGCCCCTTTTCAGCTCAAAATATAATGATTGCTGAAGGAATTTTTAGGTTGGTTTGTGGGAGGTTTTTACACCATTTCTCTGAAATGATCATTACTAGAGGTGGTCAGTAAAACTTTTATTAAACTTGTTTTTGTGGAAGTTAACAATGTGTCGATATAGAATTATCCCATTGCAAATGGCCTTTTTTTTTTTTTTTTAATCAGGAGAGATTTTCCAATTCAGATCAAAGGGAAACAGCAGGTTCATAACCAGTAATCCTGTGGTTGTGATGCTTACCTGGGAAAACATAGACCGAGGCTTGCGTCTCCCTGCTTTAACATCTGGCCTCTTGTATATTTTATGATTATTCTTATCCATATACTATTGCAAAACTTAGCCTCCCCGATGTGTCTTGCACAATATTATTTGTGTAAAGTAAAATGGCTCAAAGACAAGTTAGATGCACAAAAGAAGTAATAATCTCATTTTTGAGCAAGGAGAGGTGGGGGTGATGTCTAAAAACAAAAAACACTGTTTTATATATGGACTCTTTTGATTCATTATGACTACTGTTTTTGTGTTGTGGGACCTGAGGCATTTTCTGTTTCGCAGTATTCTTACCAAAGTTATCAACCACAGACAGTGACAGTGCTTTGAAGATGCATGTACTACTCAGTTTTTACATCATCAACTTACACAGAAAAATGTATGAAACCAGTTCTTTTTCAACCATTGAATCAGTCCTCCTAGAGAAACTGTGTTGAAAATATACATCTGCATTAAGTGCCCCCTTTTTTTTTTTTAAGATTTGTGTAGGACTTGATGACCTTAGGTTGAACCTTATTCCAGGTGACCAGAGCAGAACAGACTACCCTTTCTGTAATCTTTATTTCCATCTTTTCCCATCCATATTTTGTGATACTCATTTTTCCATGTAAAATGTTCCGTTTCCACTGAAGCGATTCGCCTGTCTTCTGATTTGCCTGTACGCTTGTTTTTAAAGCTCACAGAATAGTCCTGTATTTCTCTGGTCACACTGCTTTTCTTGCCTGAACACTTTGATAACCAAGAAGGAAATGTGCTGGCTCCAAACTGCAGCCGTAAAAGCTTTCAGTGCCTTGATGAACATGGCTAGGCTGGGTAGAATCATCTTCCCAGAATGTGGTATTTCATACCAATAGACTGAGGAACGTATTTGGCATAATCCTGAAAGAATTGCAGCTTGTGGTCAGATTATTATTAAGACACCCGTTTTCTTGTCTACACATTTTTAATTGGGCATTTTTTTGTTATGTCGTCGTTCACAGGACTCTCTTAATATTAAAACCATCTCTTTTAAACTGGTATTTTTGGTAAGAACTGGTGCTAGACCTGAACTCTTACAGTTTATTTTGAGATACAAAAGATACGGTACATTAAAGAAAACGGTGTATCGAGCAGTAGAGGAGTAGTACATTAGGAAGCTTTGTGCGTGCCCACATGCATGCAAGTTAAGTGAGATAATTTGTGGAATCTGATATTATATAGATGAATCATTCTGTCAGTGAGATTATTCAATTGGTCACGGATGCACTTTTTTTTTTTTCCCCCCCATTCTCTTTCATAGGAAGATGAAATGCACAGAAGATGAGAAGGCAGAGCTAGTAGCAGTTAGGTTTGATATTTTGGGGTATTTTTGTTGTTGTTGATTTGTTTACCTGTTTAAATGGGAAATAATAGCTTTCTTAGAGGAGGAATTATTTCTCAGAGTGACCCAAGTTCTCAAGTCTGTATATCTATGAGAGATAGAAACTAAGAAGCTGACAACGTAACATGAGTTTGATGACCTGGCAAATATGTTTGGAGAGTGCCCTGACAAAGGAAATGGAACAAAAGGGTTAATTAGTAATTTTTGAGGCAGTGGGAAGGAGCAGACAGAAGACTTTGTGCTCCCATAAGCAAAGCCTCCTGTGGAAGGGTGAGGGAGGAAGGAGATTCTGGAGCTCCTAAGAGGACTCTGTCTTAAGCCAAAACGTTCACTAAAGGTGAGAAAATAGAGAAAGGGAAGTCTGTTTATTTTGCTTATCCCTTTCTCTCATTTCTCAAAACCTTTTTAGGTTAATAGGAGATTAACTTGAGTTTTATAACCTGCATAAAACCTGTTTTTTTACTATTACCAGAAACTGAAGAAATGAACTGTTAACACACAGTGCTTTCCAGGTGAGGTTTTTACAAAAGGTCCATTGAGGGTATGGAGATACCTAGAGGAAGCAAGGATGAAAAGGTATTTGTGAAAGGATAAGAGAAATTGCTTGCTACGGAATGGCCAGGGATTAGCTGTCAGAGGGGCTGGTGTCAGGGCAGGCGGCACAGCCTGGTAGAGCTGCAGGAGGCACAAAGCATCCTGCTCAACACTCACACTCAAACGTGAAAACCAAACACCTGGGCATTTGGGGGAACTTCCCGTAGGTTTTGTGATCCTATATAAATGTGCCTTATATAAGAATCTTTTATTCTAGCTCTGATAGTTTCATCTAAGTAGTGCTATCAAGGAAATGGGTTTATTCTGTGGATGGAACAAAACGATCTAGTTCAATAAACAGTCTAGGTCCACGGTTTTTGCTAAGTTACTTGAGTTAGAGTACTTTGTAGGTCTGCTTTGCCATCTACTATGGATGTTCAACTATTTCTTCCCCCCCTTAAAGAAAACGACTGATACTGTTAAATATGTTTGCTCCATCTTACAGTCTTTGACGTCAATCACCTAAGTGTGTTTGTCATTCACATCTGAGCACGCTGGCAGTAAACAGGTAGCACATCTTCTAATGTCAACAAAGACTTCAAGACAAAAGCTTCTTAGGGATAACTAATGCACTTATCCCATCTGGAAATTTCTGTAGAATACTGATAGTATATTGCCCTGTTTTTGACTTCTAAAACATTAAATGATTAATAGAAAGGAAATTACTATTTTCGATACCTCTTGCAGTGGCTCTGTCAAAGAACGAATACAAGGCTAACTGATAGAAAGGAAATTACTATTTTCGATACATTTTCGATACCTCGTCAAAGAACAAATACAAGGCTAACTGATACATTGTTTTCCCAGTTTGGCAATTCCTTTGTTTTTATGGCATTTCTTGTTACTTACTCTCTGTATTTATGAATACACGTATTTCTCTTGACAATATGTGTATATTGCATTCACATATATGGGTTTCCTCAATAATTGAAGACCGAACTCAGCTGGAAAGATTAAATAGCACAAGGAAGTATATAAGTAAATTATATTAATTAACATAGTCTCTCTTTTATAATTAAAAATTATTTGCACAGAAGTGGAACACCTTAGGTTTGCAAACATTTTGTCGGTGCGTAAGTAAGCAAGCCTAAAGTGTTCAGTACTGGAACAGTATTAACTGCTGCAAAATAAGGTTTGCTTTTTAAACAGTTTTTAAAGCTCTGAAAAGGTAATAATTGAGCCATGTTTCTGACTTCTATGTTTTACCCAGGGGATTTAAATTATCGTTCTTATAAAGATGCTTCATTTAGGAAGTCTGGTCATTTACTGTTTATAGATCTCATGTGTGCAGTTTAATTGTGTTTTCCTAGCCCTTTAAACTGAAGCAATTACAGGAGAAATCTACTCTAATATAGTTGGAATAATAGATATTTTGGTGTGTAGAGCCTTGTTAGTCTTTAGATTGTTATTTGGCTGACTAAAATCTCTAAAAAACAAAGATATTTGGATATTAGAGCCATAAAGAAATCCAACTTCCAGGTAATGTATATTTGAGCACTTTTTTTTTTTTTTTAAAGAGGAACATTTAATCATTTCATGATAAATGCATCATACTTAAAACAGGTGCATTTTAACAGTGTCTTTTCTCTTGACTACAGTTTTTCCTGGAAGACTTGAAAGGCGAGGTCTATAGTCACATATTTTACTATGTTAATATTATGTCAGTGGAAGGCTATATAAAATATAAGGATATCTATTGTGAATAACTATTTTGAAAAGGAAGATGGGTAGAATAACCAAGTCTAACCTATTAGAGTCCATACTTTGGGAAACAAAAGGATTTGAGAAGTCAGGTTGTATGTTGAAGAAATTCCGACAGATTTTTGTTTTAGTTTTGAATGAAAAGGAGAAATTTTCCTTGTTTTCTAACTTCCTTGCTTTATTCTGTTGTTCCTTTTTGGTTAATTACTTCTTCATGTTTTCTGAAAATGAATCGTATCCCCTTAGAGTCAACACAGGAATCATAACAAAGCCTGTAGATTTAACACATTGAGGTCTGGTAGAGAATTACAAAACTACGCTGCATTCAGTTGAGTGTAGTGCCATATATTGATTCACACCAAAAAGGAACTTTATTCTTTTCTTATATTACAGAGACAATATGTTTTACTAAGCAGTTGTGGAAATCATTAGATGTAATGTCATTGCAACATTGTTTTTCCTTATGCTAAATAGAAAAGTAATTTCTATTTCTTTTTATGTGGTAAAGATTGAGTAGAAATGAGGCTGAAATTATCCCTGTAATGCATGTAAAGTTTATCAAGCTATTTGAAATATTTTCAGGGTAAAATGTTTCTTACTCTTGCCCCTTCGCACACACATCCCACCCCACACTACACTGGGAGAAATGTAGATTCAAATTTCTTCAAGTTAGTTTGTCATGTTAGTGCTGTTATGTAAAACAAACACTTGGAACAATCTTCTTTTGGCTTTCATTGTCATTTTAGTTTGTCATCTTTTGTCATTGCAGGAGAGTAGAAACAGCAGTAGGTCATCTAGTCCTAGTGTGAGAATGATCACTACCTCGGGACCAACCTCTGAAAAGCCAACTCGTAACCCATGGACACCTGATGATGCAGGTGATGCTTTGTACATTAGTTAACTTACAATCTGTAAAAAGTAATAAATATTTATTTAATTTTTTTTGTGTGTGTGTAGACATTAATAAAAGTAAGCAGGTGAAAGTGCCAGTTTGTTTTAGTACTGCTTAAATCTAGTCTTAAAATAATTGCTTTGTTTTGCGTACTGAATGTAAGAGTTTTTAATGTGGGTTATATTGTTACATACACTCATCAATATTTTTCCCTATGACAAATTACTGTTCACGTACAGTGATGCTGCAATTTAGTGCAGATCTCTGAGCACCATTTTATGGCTACTTGTGTATAAGGAGTGAGGGGAATAGACCTCCCGCAGCATTTTACTCTTGTGCATTTGTATTGTGAATGCACAGATAAAGCTTTCGTTGCTCTGACTTCTGGAATGAATTGTTCCTTAGCTGAGTGTGAGCTAGAATACATTAATTTTGTTTTTATGTGTGTTCTAAAACAAAAATACACACATGCACACAAGTCACTGTTTTCAAATGAATCAATAGTGTGTTTTCAGAATTTAACATTTGCACCCCTTAACGAAATATGCTTAAGAGCAAATATAGCTTAATTCAATTTTAAAAGTCATAATGCACATCATTATGAAAAGGATTGATCCTGGACTGCATTGAAGCGATGGATCCCTACAAATTTATTTTTAGAATATAAATAAGAATTACACTTCTGCTATGAAAATGTGGATGTTAGTCTCTGGTTGTTAAGTGACTTAAATTCTGAAATCTTTTTCTGGTGATCTATTTCATGTTTGGGCTGATGAGACTTTGTCATTCTTTTCCTGTAAACCAACTGCAAAATGGTAACTCTCAACTCAACTGATATTGCCCCAGCATATATTTAAGCAAATATAGAGTGATCATGTATACAAGATATGCATTTTTCTTTTTTCTAGTGTTTCAGTGTGAGGAGAACATCCTCTTGTATTTTGTTTCCACACTTCCTTCTTTCTATCCATTCTTATTTTTCCCAATCTCACACTCTGCCTTTTAACACATAATCCTCAAACCCTCTGCCCCATGTCCTTGTTTGTGCAACTTAGGCTCTGGGTTTCTTTAGGCAGTGTGCACTGGCAGGGATTGCTGCCTTGCACAGAGACAAGCTCTTACACATGAGCTGAATCAGTAGCTCATGGGGAACTGAGAGCTGCTGATACTCTGTCACTGAAAAGGCAGCACCTCCCGAATCTTTGGTCTTAAAAGCAGCACAGAGCTAGGTTAAGTCAGGTCCATTGCTGTGGCAACTTTCTTCCACACAAAAATGCCTCACACCTAGAAAAATGCAGAACATGCATTTATTTTTTCCAGATTAGGTTTATGCAGTCCATGAACAAAAGATTGTGTTTATTTTTTTAAAATCCTATTTCTGAACAAAGAAATAGTTCTGTTTCGGGGGTTTTGGGGTTTTTTGTTTGTTTGCTTGTTTGTTTTTTGTAAAAGGGATAGCACTGTTAAATTAGTGAAGCAGAATGATAAAAGGAGAGCAAGGTCAAATCTGGACAATCGTAGAGAAAAGTTACAGTTCTGTGACACAGACTTGAAGCAATCCAGAATGTAGTCTGAAGTATTTTGCATGTCTTGATGTATTTGAAACATTGCACTAATTTCTTTTCTGTAGCAGTGTGCCGTACATGGCAAATGTCTAATGTAGGGGAGGACTTGTATTGTTCTGATTTAAGACACTGTGGTGATTAAGTCTTTGGTTTTAGGATTTTTTTTTTCTTCTCTACCACCTTCCAGTTTCCTTACAAGCATGCCCTTAACCACTGTTTCTCCATTCCCACTCTCTTATTTCTGTTTCCTTTTGAAGCTGCTCTTGGAGATAGCATAGTCTTTGAGGGCAACACCTTAGTTTCTCTACCACGACTACTGTGTGGCAGGTGCTTTTGGGGTATGGGTAAGCAGCCCCTTTTTTTTCCCCACCTACCCTCCTCCATATGATCCCCTGGTAGAAGTAATGCAGCTATGAAAGCAGTAGTTTCTCAGTGTAACTTTACTCCTGTGTTTCTTAAAGCTTAACTGTAACCTTGTGCTCCCTGGACTGTGGTTTACCAAAAGATAAAATCCATAATTCAGAAACATATTTGGAATGAAAGAACTAGAGAAACCCAGTGGAACTGCAGTGTAAGAAGAGAATGGCCAAGCCCAAGAGATGATGGATTGGTTATTGGGTTCCTTGCAACCCACAAAATATCTCTGCAAAGCAAAGAAGATGCCCCAGAGCATATTGTGAGGAAGATATTTGCAATCCTCACAGGGAGTAGGTTTCAAAACCGAGCAGGGGGTTGTGCTTATTTTATTTTGGCAGAGCTGGTTTGCATAGCTTCTAATTTTAAAATCATTAGATGCACGGGCTGGCTGGCTGATCCTTCATAAACAAGAATGGAATGGCAATTTTTTTCTTTATAAACAGAGAGCAAGATTGCAAACTGTACAGAAATAGTATTTTTCTTAAATCTTTGTGCTGTTACATGGCTTCTAGAAATGTAGATTGATAACATTAGTCTTTATTTCTTCTTGGTGTGGTAGACCATACATTTGAAGTTCGCATTTAACAATATCAGAAAAACAAGTGAAGTCATCTGCCTTGGATTTGGAACGCTGATATTTCCATTTGCCTTTCCACATTCAGATTGTACATATTTGAAATGTTTCAGTATTTTTCATGTCCTTTAAAAATCAGATTTACTCATTTTGATACTATATTGAAGTTTTCTTGGTATTGTTACAGAGACCAATGGGTCAGATAACTCCATCCCAATGGCGTATCTTACATTAGATCACCAGTTGCAGGTAATAAATGCTTTAGTAGATATTTTTATTCACATTAAAGTTTAAAGCATGAATTGTGAGGTGAAACATAGTGGCACATGTTTACATCCTGTCTAAGTTTTGACCAAAGCTAAAAAAAAATATATTATGTAATCTGAGATTGGTTGACTCAGATTTGATCAAGCTACTAAAAACAAACCCTGGGAAATATGATCCCTAAAACCAAGTGAAATCAGACTTTGTCTGTCAAAATAAGACATTGTTTACTTGAGTGTTATTGAGTGAATGTTCACTTTGTTTTTTCTGTGTGTGATCCAACACTACTCCGATTATTATTCCTTGTTAACAAAAAGAGTTTGAGATTAGTAACTGCAGGTTTGAGGTCTGAGTCAGCTTTGACATCAGTGCTATAAAATTTTCCAGGGCATGATTTAACACTTATTTTTAAAAAGCTTACTAGTTTCTAAAAGTTGATACAAATATATTTCAGACACATTCTAACACACTATGTTTTGGGATATCAGTTGATTAGTTTTTAACATGTCTGATTTATTTTCAGCCTCTAGCACCATGTCCAAACTCCAAAGAATCTATGGCTGTGTTTGAACAGCATTGTAAAATGGCACAAGAGTATATGAAAGTTCAGACAGAAATCGCATTGCTGTTGCAGAGGAAGTAAGTGAAATGTTTTGATCCTTTTTTGTTCTTCTGTCTGCTTCCTTCACCCTAAATTATTTGAGAGCATTGTTTTTGGCTTTATGAAGTCACATTTCATAGAGTATGGTTGTTTGGTAGACTTAATCTTGAAAATACTGAGTTTCTGACCGTGTATGATATTTCAGAGCAAGTAATTCAAAGTTCTAATCAACATCAGGATTTTCCTTTTGGATGAGTTCCGCTTTAAAGAGTGTGCCACATATCTGTGTATCAAGTTAAAGATGTCCTCTGTTAAAGAACTTTGTAATTTTATTTCACACCCTGTCAAGAGTTTTCCATTGTAATCTGTAGATAATTGTTTAGATAATTTATTATAGAATTGTGGCTAATATTTCACTGTCCGCTATTTGGCAGAAAATCTTCACCGTGTGTCTGGCTTTTGTCAATCACATGCAAAACAGTAACATCAACGCGTGTCCTGTGTGTTTCTGCGAAGACCTTTTCTGTTTGAAAATCATTATGTATATTGTTACCCTGTGCACCAGAAGTCATCTTTAGATCTTAGTAGAACTGTATATGTGTTAAACAAATGTTTGTGGGTGTTGTTGTAGAGGGCCCAAAGCTATTGCTGAACCAGAAGTGCAGTTTGCATACTGGCTGTTGTGTTCTGCATCCCTTGTTTCTGCCCTAAGGTCAGGGAACAGTTTTCCCAAGTTGTTTTTCTTAGTCAAAAACAAGTTATGTGTTAAACAAAAAGAGTGGTATTACCTGAAAGGGTAACTAGTGTATTTAGTGCTTTTTGAGATAGTTAATTATTTTGTAAATGTTGAACTAGTAACTTTTCATTAACAGTAATGTCAATCATATGGCAACAATTAATTAACATGATTAACTTTCTCCTCTACTACTTTCTTGCTAAAATATTGTTAGCAGCTTGCCTTCTTGTCACCTCATAAAAGAAGGGTAAAACAAAATGCATTCTACTTCCTACAGCAGTTTTGTAGGATAATTCTTAGCAACCTTACCAATGTGCTGCTTCCTCTAGAAGAGTTACTAAAAATATACCAAACACTTATGGCATAAATTAACTGAAATAACCATTTTAGAGATCTGCCTCATTCTGCTTTTGACTGCTTTAAAAAGTGCAGCATGCAAACAGTGTTCCAGTGAAAAGTTACTGAAATTCCTGCAGTGCTTTTTCCAGAGCGATTTATGCAGAGAGGGGGAAAAAAAAACAGAACTGCAACATCACCATTTTA